TCTGCGTGTAAAAGTTTCTGTGTGTAAAAGCTTCTGTGTGTAAAAGCTTCTGTGTGTAAAAGAGTCTGTGTGTAAAAGGGTCTGTATGTAGAAGCGTCTGTGTGTAAAAGCGTCTGTGTGTAAAGGAGTCTGTGTGTAAAAGCCTCTGTGTGTAAAAGCTTCTGTGTGTAAAGGCTTCTGTGTGTAAAAGCTTCTGTGTGTAAAAGCGTCTGTGTGTAAAAGGGTCTGTGTGTAAAAGGGTCTGTATGTAAAAGCGTCTGTATTTAAAAGCATCTGTGTGTAAAGGAGTCTGTGTGTAAAAGCCTCTGTGTGTAAAAGCTTCTGTGTGTAAATGGTCTGTGTGTAAAGGAGTCTGTGTGTAAAAGCGTCTGTGTGTAAAGGAGTCTGCGTGTAAAATGGTCTGTGTGCAAAAGTGCCTGTGTGCAAAAGCGTCTGTGTGTAAAAGCTTCTGTGTGTAAAAGCTTCTGTGTGTAAAAGTGTCTGTGTGCAAAATGGTCTGTGTGGAAAAGTGTCTGTGTGTAAAAGGGTCTGTGTGTAAAAGGGTCTGTATGTAAAAGCGTCTGTATTTAAAAGTATCTGTGTGTAAAAGCTTCTGTGTTTAAAAGCTTCTGTGTGTAAAAGTGTCTGTGTGTAAAATGGTCTGTGTGTAAAAGTGTCTGTGTGTAAATGCGTCTGTGTGTAAAAGCGTCTGTGTGTAAAAGCGTCTGTGTGTAAAGGAGTCTGTGTGTAAAAGCGTCTGTGTGTAAAAGCGTCTGTGTGCAAAAGCGTCTGTGTGTAAAAGCTTCTGTGTGTAAAAGCTTCTGTGTTTAAAAGCTTCTGTGTGTAAAAGTGTCTGTGTGTAAAATGGTCCGTGTGTAAAAGTGTCTGTGTGTAAAGGAGTCTGTGTGCAAAAGCTTCTGTGTGTAAAAGCCTCTGTGTGTAAAAGCTTCTGTGTTTAAAAGCTTCTGTGTGTAAAAGTGTCTGTGTGTAAAATGGTCTGTGTGTAAAAGCCTCTGTGTGTAAAAGCTTCTGTGTGTAAAAGCTTCTGTGTTTAAAAGCTTCTGTGTGTAAAAGTGTCTGTGTGTAAAATGGTCTGTGTGGAAAAGTGTCTGTGTGTAAAAGCGTCTGTGTGTAAAGGAGTCTGTGTAAAAGTGTCTGTGTGTAAAAGCGTCTGTGTGTAAAGGAGTCTGTGTGTAAAAGCTTCTGTGTGGAAAAGCTTCTGTGTTTAAAAGCTTCTGTGTGTAAAAGTGTCTGTGTGTAAAATGGTCTGTGTGTAAAGGTGTCTGTGTGTAAAGCTTCTGTGTGTAAAAGCGTCTCTGTATAAAAGCGTCGCGTTTCTTCACATCCGAGGAATGATGGTTCCGAGCTTTTTCGCCAATGTGTGTCGGAATTACCATAGTAAAATGAGATAACACATGTCATTCGCAGCATCATGGTACCGAGCCTCCTGTGCACTTTTGTTGCTCACATTATATTTTTCCATGTTTTCTTTCTATCTCCCTTTCCTTCTCTCTCTCTCTCTCTATCTCTCTCTCTCTCTCTCCCTCTTTCTCTCTCTCCGTCTCCCTCTCTCTCTCTCTATCTATGTCTCTCTGTGGTTGCAAGACACGTGTCATCTGATGCCCTTTAGCAAATATCCTCTTCTTAATCAATCTTACTTTTCACACCTTATCCCTCCATAGCTCATTTAAAATTCACCAACCATTCACCGACTATCTTTTACGACTACCATCCTCAGAGCTGCTTAAAAAAACATCTTTTTCGCTCTCGGGCCAACCGTCGTCTAGTTCGGCACCTTCGCTATGTGGACAACAGATTAATCTTGGGACATCACCTCATCCAAGCTTTACCCCCGTATGAAATCTTGCTCGATGAAGGTTTCTATGGAAAACCCATCATCTTGTAGACTGAGCCAGACCCAGGATTTCTGGGCTTCATAATCGAGACCAACTTTTTGAGCTGATCCACTGTGGTCCTACAAACGTCTCCCAGATTCTGTCACCATTTTCAGCATCTCCGCCTGGGGTTCTTCTTAGTGGCTTTCGATCGTGCTGTCACATTGTGGTGAAAGGTGCTTTTCCATTGTAAAGAGTTCATCAAGGACTTCAACAATTAATTCACATTTATCATTTGGCAGGCTTCAGCTTCGAAGAACTCAATGGCATTTCTTCGCAAGTTTGTCTTCGATGCACTAAATTCTTGGGTTGCTGCCATGTGTTCTTGTCTTTCCCTCATGGCTCTTTGTCTTTGATTCCTCCTTTCTCTTCCAGCTCTTTGGCTCAAATTGGCTTCCTGCCTTTTCTTCTCGGCTTGTTTCTTCTGTCTGTGATGGAATCACATCAACGCCAGATTCATTTCCACTTGGCCAGAGCTATCATGCATTTGAGCTACATTGCGGGTTTTCTTCCTTTGGTTGAACCTGATTTGGATTGGGACTCATCACCTATGTTATCGGGACCTTCAATGCCTTTGGCTCCTTCGAACTTTTCAACTGGCTCTCGCAATCTACACACTTTTGTCCCTATGCTTCGATCAAACCACCATGCCACACTGTTGTCTCATGGGGGGCTTCCGTCACATATGACGATCAATCCAGAACCGAATCTTCACCCAATGCGCTCTTCAATTTCCATGGCGACCGTTGCGGAAGAAGTTTATCCAGCTGCCCGCCCCATATCGTCCTCTTCCACAGAACCTCCGGCCACCCGATCAACGTCAGCCTCAACTCCAACAGCTCCGCCTGTCCGTTCCCGTTCATCAGCCACACCACCAACACATCACTCTGGGAACCCCAGTCATCCCAAACGTCGGTGCCTACAACCACCTGGAACCTACCGACGATGGCAACCCACCCCTTGTGGAAGTCCGCCGACTCTATCCCAGCCCCCACCGACTAATTTCATGCTGTCTTGCAAAAATTCGTTTGCTTCTTCACTCCTTTTCAGCTTGGTTTTTTGTGCTGCCTTCAGCTTTAACTCTATCTAAACAAACCCATTCTTAGCGATGTATCGTTCTCGTTCCCGTGATTTTTCTTACCGTGAATCCCGTGATTTGCACTATGGCATCCCGGCGGTGGCTCGCTCGACTCCAATGTCAATGATCTTCGATTCATGGCCCAGGAATCCCACACTCGGTCGGATCTCCTTCCGAGCTTGACTGCCACTGAACACGAAGGACTATTTTTTTCCCAATTGGTGGCACCTTTGCAATTGCCATGTACCTTGTTTACCAACATCCTCCATACGTCTTGGACCACATCTCCGCGACCTGGGATATTCAACTCGATTCTGATGATCTTTGTCTTCGATATCCTGGCTTGACTGACTGGAGATGTTTTTGAACTTGATCCTCTCTTCTCTCTCTTCTCTCTCTTCTCTCTCTTCTCTCTCTTCTCTCTCTTCTCTCTCTTCTCTCTCTTCTCTCTCTTCTCTCTCTTCTCTCTCTTCTCTCGTTTCGTTAATTGGAGCTTTGGCGTCCTACCGACCAGAATGGTGCCTGGTGCCGACGCCAAGATGATGGTTTCAATATGTTTCAATTCATTCCTCTTCACCGACTTCATCCACCCCTATATCATGCGTCTTACGACCAGAAAGATCCCAGCATTGCTCTCCCATGAAATTTAGGATATGGTGACATTGCATTGTCAAAATGGGATTCATTGCTGCTTAGCCGGGTTTTCCCTTCGGTTTTTCCGTTTTCTCTGTGCTTGGTCCTCTTCATTGGATGTTGCGCCTCTTCACTCTGTTGTATAGTTGTGACTGCTTTATTCATGTTCAGCGTTTTTCACCATTTCAAAACGCGTGGCTCAGTGGCATGTCCGGCACCAAACGCGATTGTACCATGGCGAATCTCAGCTGGCCTTGGGCAAGCTCCAACCAGGAGTGTCAGCCAAGATTTACGGCATAGCCAACTTCTTCGAACTTGGAGTTAGGGGTCGCATTGGCTGTGGTGGTTTGGCGCCAACCAAACGTACTTCGGAGATTACCGAAGAGTTGCTCCAATGCTTCGACCTTCTTCGGACGATTGTGGCTACCAGACCGTGCAAGCAACCCGAGGTAGTGCCTCACGCGGGTCCGCGCTTCCTTGCGGATGTGCCGCCCCGGAGATACCAGGAGAGGGCACAGGGGGCTTCTTGATTGTTTGGATTCACGCAGAGACGGGAAGCCTTTGTCTCCCTGATCCCCCCAAGGTATACCAACTTTGGGAACCAGGAGATCGGAAGATTGCCCCAACTTGAGTTACTACAAGTTTTGTATGCTCTGTTTTCTAGACCGTCACAGTTCAGAGGACGTGGTGGGTTGTGCTGAGTGGCATAAGAAACATTCTTCTTCAACATGTCTCGCATTCTTTCCCTTCGAGGTATGGTCTCTACCACTTCCTGCGTCCTACGGGTTGTGGAGTTCTTCTGATCGAGTGCTTCGGGAGAAGTGCATTGGGAGAGATTCTGCTTGAATGACATCATGAGTACACAGGCTGTCTGAGCAGGAGCGAGTGTTGCTATGCAAGAGAGAACTTGCATGGTATACCAAAGCACTGTCCAGCTAGAGGCAGGTTGAGACCAGGATGTAAAGCCGAATAAGGAAAAGAAGTGCGAGCCAGAAGTGCTGGGAGCGGTTGAGTATACGACATATCAGTACTTCACATCTCACTTCTCATGTGTATTTGATTGTATTTGCATGCGTATGTAAATGCATGTAATTTATATTTATATATATATATATATATGTATATATATATACACATTTTTTCGTGTTTGAGTGAAACCATGTGAAACAGTGTGACAGAATGCGAAAGAATAGCAAACAATGAAATGCAATGGGGAAGCCAGCAGTAGGGGAAAGAGACCTTAATCAGAGCCATTCACAATGTATATGGTGCTTGACTCAAGCTCGTGAAATGGTAATGGCCAACAGGAGAGGATTGGCTACAAAGTGGACTTGAAAGGTCCAGGGGCATTGACGATTGACGGTTTCTTTGCTTTGATGGGTTGCTCCCAGCCCTTGAACGGCACAGACCGCGGCTGCGGACCGAGTGTGACCCGTGTCCACATCAATGTGGAGGTGTGGACGGAAGGGTATGCTGAAGCTTGGGCTCAGGTCCAAGCTGACTACCCCAACAAGGCACCGAAGAATCTTGGGAACATGGGATACTCGGGAGCGTCCGCAGCGTACGTGCCCCTGGCAGTGCAGGAGAAGGCTTACGATGTTGAGAGCATCAATCTGGACTTCTACCGAGACTACAACGGGTCCCGGCAAAATCCAGGGGCATACTTTGCCCACCCCCTGGATTTGGATCTCTCGAAACTGCTGCCGTGCGCAGACACTGCATTGATGTCAAACGAACTCATGAGCGGCTATCTCAACCTCACAGGAGATTCAGCCGGGGTTGTGGTTGACAACGTGGGGCTGGTCACTGGCAAATACTTTGATGGCTTTTTTTGGTATGGCCCCGCCTGCAGGGACAATCCTTCTACTTGCTTGACATGGTTCACTGGTGGCACTGGGTGGGGGATGGGTGAAATTCTGCTGAAGGCAGCGGTCTACAATATTCCCCTGGCAACAGCGGTTGCCAGCAGTTGGGGGAACTATGTCAACCTGCCGGCGGAGTCCAACGTCATGCTCTACTGGTGGGTTCCTGATTCAACATTCCTCAGGCCATGCCTTGTAAACATGCACCGTACGAGGGCCAACGCAGTGTTGTGCAGATATTGTAAGGTTATAGCATAGAGTCTTCAGCAGGTGAAACTCCGGTTTTTGTTTTTGCTTCAATTGGTTTTGCATCAGTACTGGAAGACACTTTAGATGCAAGAAAGTCATGCAAGTGACGTGAATTGATCCTTCCCCTTTCCCAGCATCCATTCGTGAGTCTATTGGCCTGCTTGCATCACGGTCAGTCACTCCATTCCCCCTTTTCAGGTTTATGCGCCCCACATTATGCCATCGCATTCTTCCTTGCAAAATCTTGTGTCACGCCTTGAATTTGTCTCTAAGTTAGTTCATTACATATATTAAAATATACCAGTAGTACCGCACAAGGCGGTGACAGAAGTTTCTAAAATGGGAAACCTATAGGAGCGGTTGGTTGTTGTGAATCACGGATGGCAGAGCGAAGCCGCTGATGGACCGAAAGGTGCTTGAGGTCTCCTCTCTTTCTCTCTGTTTCTCTGACTATCTACCTATACCTACCTACCTATCTGTCTATGTATCTATCTATCTATCTACCTATCTATCTATCTATCTACCTATCTATCTATCTATCTATCGGTCGATCGTTCTAACGATCTATCTATCTATCGATCCATCGATCTATCTAAGTATCGATCGATCTATCTATCTATCGATCGATCGATCTATCTATCGATCGATCTATCTATTTATCGATCTATCGATCTATATATCTATCTATCTATCTATCTATCTATCTATCTATCTCTCTCTCTCTCTCTCATCTGTCTATCTGTCTACCTGTCTAACTGTCTATCTATTTATCTATCTATCTAATCTAATCTTAAATCTAATCTAATCTTCAATCTGATCTAATCTCATCCTATCTATCTATCTATCTATCTATCTATCCTATCTATCCTATCTATCCTATCTATCCTATCTATCCTATCTATCCTATCTATCCTATCTATCCTATCTATCCTATCTATCCTTCTATCCTATCTATCTTCTATCCTATCTATCCTATCTATCCTATCTATCCTATCTATCCTATCTATCCTATCTATCCTATCTATCCTATCTATCCTATCTATCTATCTATCTATCTATCTATCTATCAAGCTAAGCTACCTATCTATCTATCTGTCTATCTGTCTATCTATCGATCTATCTATCTATCTATCTATCTATCTCTCTCCCTCTCTCTCTCTCTCATCTGTCTATCTGTCTATCTATCTACCTGTCTATCTATCTATCTATCTATCGAATCTATCTATCTATCTATCTATCTATCCATCTTTTCATTTATCTATCTATCTATCTATCTATCTCTCTATCTATCAAGCTACCTATCTATCTATCTATCTATCTTTCTAGCTAGCTAGCTAGCTATCTAACTATCTATCTATCTATCTATTTATCTATCTATCTATCTATCTATCTATCTATCTATCAAGCTACCTATCTATCTATCTATCTACCTATCTACCTATCTATCTATCTATCTATCTATCCATCCTTCTATCTATCTATCTCTCTATCTATCAAGCTACCTATCTATCTATCTATCTATCGATCTATCTATCTATCGATCTATCGATCTATCGATCTATCTATCGATCTATCGATCTATCGATCCATCGATCCATCGATCGATCGATCTATCGATCTATCTATCTATCTATCCATCCATCTACCTATCTATCTGTCTACCTTTCTATCTATCTATCTGTCTGTCTATCTATCTATCTATCTGTCTATCTGTCTATCTATCGATCTATCTATCTATCTCTCTCTCTCTCTCTGTCTGTCTGTCTGTCTATCTATCTGCAAGCTTGAAAACGAGGCTATTCTGCGAGACTTCCTCAATTTTTGCACTTGACAACATCAAAAACGGAGCAATTCTGCGAGACTTCCTCATTTTTTTAAGTTGACAATATCAAAAACGAAGCAATTCGGCGAGACTTCTTTCAAAAATGGAAAGTTGAGTGCAGAGCCGACGGCCTCGTACCAATGCGTTTTGCGATTTTTCGACTCCACCTGTCTAAACTACTGCGCCTGCCACGAAAAAGTGATACCGGGTCATACGAAGTGCTGCACCTGTCACGCAAAATATCGCAAAATCATCTCAGCAAACCTGAAGATCTGATGCTCCAAAATGCAACCCTCTCAGGAAATCAGCGCCCGGACCTCCAAACATGTCTCTTGTACTGCGCCTGCGACGGAAAATGCATCTTTGCAGATTCTTTTCGAATGTTCCACGCCTGCCATCGTTTTTGGAAATGCTGCAAAACCGTCACGTTTTGCTCACTTTTAACAAGGTCCACAATCCCTTGCGCTTGCCACGCGAAAGCACATCTGAACGTCCAAAAGTGGTCCCAACCCCTGGACGTTTTAACATTTTGGATTCGAAATGTGCTTCGCGCCACAACGACGTAAAGTGGTCCGAACATGGTGTGTTTTGTACGTTTTGACTTCGAAATGCGCTTCGCGCCACAACGGCGTACACTTTTTCGACATCGCAACTTCCAAAGTGGTCCGAACCTGGTGTGTTTTGTACATCTTGACTTCGAAATGTGCTTCGCACCACAACGGCGTGCACTTTTTCGACATCTCAACTTCTAAAAGTGGTCCGAACCTGGTGCGTTTTGTACATTTTGACTTCGAAATGTGCTTCGCGCCACAACGGCGCGCACTTTTTCGACATGGCAACTTCCAAAGTGGTCCGAACCTGGTCTGATTTGTACATTTTGACTTCGAAGCGTGCTTCGTGCCACAACGGCGTGCACTTTTTCGACATGGCAACTTCCAAAAGTGGTCCGAACTGGTGTGCTTTGTACATGTTGATTTCGAAATGTGCTTCGCGCCACAACGGCGTGCAATTTTTCATCTCTCATCTGGCCAGCTGGCTCCGCACCCGCCGCTTTAGCGAGCCTACTTTTCGACCCTGAGGCCCCGAGGAGTTACAAACCATTGGAAAAACACAGTGTTTCGCGACTTTGCTACCTTTTCGCGCACCTGGATCTTCTTTCTTCTGAGACTTTCTCTTTTGTGATCTTCTTTCTTCTTCTCTTCTCTTCTCTTCCCTTCCCTTCCCTTCCCTTCCCTTCTCTTCTCTTCTCTTCTCTTCTCTTCTCCTCTCTTCTCTGAGTCTTCCCATCTCTTCTTTTCATCTGTCCATATTGTCGGAAGTTTGACTTCTAAACTTCCTTCGATCATGGTGACCACATGACCTTTCAGTACCGTGCGGATTTCTGAAGATGGTCCACCCTGAAAGGTTGCAACCAAGAAGGATCACTTTTCCAGAACACGACCTAGATGCATGGGCACAAGGGGACAGACGGTCTGCTGCGAAAGACCTTTCCGTGGATAAACATGTCAGTCGCGATTTGAGCGATTTGGCTCCAGAGGTGGAGGAGTTCATGAACAGAGCCTTGTCGAGGAACTCATTTGGCTTGGGTGGTTTGGTGTGTAAATATATATATATAGTATACATATATGCATACATACATACATCTATCTGCCTGCCTGCCTATCTATCTATCTATCTATCGATCTATCGATCTATCGATCTATCGATCGATCTATCTATCTATCTATCTATGTAATGTAATGTAATGTAATGAAATGTAGTGTAATGTAATGTAATGTAATGAAATGTAGTGTAATGTAATGTAATGTAAAGTAATGTAATGTAATGTATGTAATGTATGTAATGTATGTAATGTATGTAATGTATGTAATGTATGTAATGTATGTAATGTATGTAATGTATGTAATGTAATGTAATGTTATGTAATGTAATGTTATGTAATGTAATGTACATACATTACATACATTACATACATTACATACATTACATACATTACATACATTACATACAAAACATACATAACATACACAACATACATTACATACATTACATACATTACATACATACATGCATACACACATACGTAATGTAATGTTTGTAATGTATGTAATGTATGTAACGTACGTAATGTATGTAATGCTTGTAATGCATGTAATGCATGTAATGCATGTAATGTATGTAATGTATGTAATGTATGTAATGTATGTAATCTATGTAATGCATGTAATGTATGTAATGTATGTAATGTATGTAATGCATGGATGGATGGATGTATGTAGGTAGGTAGGTATGTATGTATGTGTGTATGTATGTATGTATGTATGTGTGTGTGTATGTGTGTATGTGTGTTTGTGTGTTTGTATGGTATGTTTTGTTTTGTTTTGTTAAGCTATGTTTTGTTATGTTATGTATGTAATGTATGTATGTAATTTAATGTATTGTAATGTAAAGTAATGTAAAGTAATGTAATGTAATGCAAGTATGTATGTAATGTATGTAATGTATGTATTGTATGCGATTAATGTATGTAATGTAATGTGATGTAATGTAATGTAATGTAATTTTTGCATGTTATGTTGTGGTTTGTTACGTTATGTTGGGGTATGTTAAGGTATGTTAATGTATGTAATGTATGTAATGTATGCAATGTATGTAATGTATGTAATGTATGTATGTATGTATGTATGTATGTATGTATGTAAGGTATGTAAGGTATGTAAGGTATGTAAGGTATGTAAGGTATGTAAGGTATGTAATGCATGTACTGTATGGAATGGATGTATGCATGTAATGTCTGTAATGTCTGTAATGTCTGTAATGTCTGTAATGTATGTAATGTATGTAATGTATGTAATGTATGTAATGTATGTAATGTATTTTTTGTATGTAACGTACGTAATGCATGTAATGTTTGTAATGCATGTAATTCATGTAATGTATGTAATGTAATGTAATGTACTGTAATGTAATGCAATGTAACGTAATGTAATGTATGTATGTATGTAATGTATGTAATGTAATGTAATGTAATGTAATGTAATGTATGTATGTATGTATGTGTGTGTATGTGTGTGTGTTTTTTATGTAAATTTGTTATGTAAATTTGTTATGTCTGTATGATTTGTATGTACGCAATGTATGTGATGTATTTATGTAATGCAATGTGATGTAATGTATGTATGTATGTATGGCATGTATGTATGTATGTATCTATGTATGTATGTATACATGTTTGTTTGTATGCATTACATTACAAACATTACATGCATTACATACATTACATTCATTACATACATTACATACATTACATACATTACATACATTACATACATTGCATACATTACATACATTACATACATACATTACATACATTCATACATACATACATACATTACATGCATTACATAAATTACATACATTACATACATCACATACATTACATACATTACATGCATTACATGCATTACATGCATTACATACAGTACATGCATTACATGCATTACATGCATTACATGCATTACATGCATTACATGCATTGCATGCATTACATGCATTACATGCATTGCATGCATTACATGCATTACATGCATTTCATACATTACATGCATTACATACATTACATAAATACATACATACATACAGAAATACATACATACATACATACACACATACATACATACATACATACATTACATACACTATATACATACATACATACATACATTCATACATACATACATACATTACATATATTACAAGCATTACATATATTACATACATTACATACATTACATACATTACATACATTACATACATACATACTTACCTACCTACCTACATACATACATACATTACCTACATTACCTACATTACATACATTACATACACTACATACATTACATACATTACATACATTACCTACATTACATACATTACATGCATTACATGCATTACATACATTACATACATTACATACATTGCATACATTGCATACATTACATACATTATGTACATTACGTACATTACGTACATTACCTACATTACATACATTACATACAATACATACATTACATACATTACATATATTACATATTTTACATACATTACATACATTAATGTTGGCTGCCTAATAGTAATTACCCCCCCTATTTTTTTTTCTTTTAATGGGGGGGGTCAACCTTCCTATAATAATTTTTGGGAATCTATAGCTGGGATCATGATATGTATCTGATAGATTCTTCATGGTTTTGTTGGGTTTCTGAAAGATTCTGAATGGATTTGGTGGAGGCGAAGGAGGAGGACCAGGAGGAGGAGAAGAAGGAGAAGAAGGAGAAGGAGAAGGAGGACAACAAAATTGGAGTTGCGGAAAAAAGTTTCCACTATTGCCATGCCTGGTGCAGGTTTGTTATTGCTATTCTGGGGCTTGCAAAGGGGGTACCCTTTGTGGACCTGTTTTTTTGCTTTTTTTAGTGGGGCTTGTATAAGGAAATCAGCTGTTTGGTAATCGGATCAGATTTCTGGAATCTAAGCTTTTGCTAATCAAAGGTCAAGGCTGCTTTGAAAAGGATTTGCTTTACTTGACTCTTTTGGCAATACTAAAAGTAAATAGAGCTAATTGACTTTTGGTATTGGAGAAAAAATTGGAGTTGGGAAAAAAGTTTCCACTATTGCCATGTTGGGTCCACTATTGGCCATGCCCTCTGGACAAGGTCTGAACATGACTCTTTTGGCAATACTAAAAGTAAATGGGGCTAATTGACTTTTAGTATTGGAGAAAAATTGGAGTTGCGGAAAAATGCTTCTACTATTGACAAGATATCACTATTGGTCAGACAACATTACATACATTACATACATTACATACAGTACATGCATTACATGCATTACATGCACTACATGCATTACATACATTACATACAAACATACATACATACATAATATACATACATACATACGTACGTACGTACGTACGTACGTACGTA